TGTTGACGGAAGACGGTCACGGAGATGTTGCTCGCTTTGACTAGTGCCTGCCATGGCTTCTTTAATATAATATCATTGTAGATTGCTTTGTTTACCCTATTTTTATTTAGTAATATGTAAAATACAGATTGTAGCTTAATTTATAATCTACTTCAACAGTTGAGGTTCAGTTCAGTTTCCTTATATTGAGGGAAGGATAGGCAAACGCCTTTCAGGTTAGTTGATAGTTTTGTTTTCAGTTTAGTTTATAGTAAAAAGTGCAGCTTTTGTTTAGTTTACCGTTTATAGTTAGTTTATTTTATAGTTCAAAATTTGGTTTTCCCGTTTAGTTTACAGTTCATCTTCCAAGTTGATGTTGGTTTCAAGTTTAGTTTGCAGTTTTGTTATCAGCTTATTTTACAGTTAATAGTTCAGTTTTTCGGTCTACTTTACAGTTTAGGTTACAGCTTATTGTTTAATTTAGTTTTAGTCGTAGATAAACTTGATTAGATATTAGTTTCTGTAGTTGGTGTTTTGGTTGCATTTTGTGCACTGTTTTACTTTTGTGTTCCCGCAATAAGTTAAATGGTAACACAGAATAAAAAAGCTATAAAATATTACTCAATAACATGTCTATATAAAAGAATAACAATTAATCTACAATGATATAATAATAAGCCAAGATGAAGTAGCCAGAAAGTGAGCAGCAAGGTACGGTAAAATGCCGCATCGTGTAGAAGATAGTTCTTATCGGGCAAAAAGCGGTCACTTTCTACGCAGTAGGGGGCTTTTTTGTCTCCAAAGGATCCATAGTTGCTACCATCCAGGGCTTCTGTTCGACCTTTTCCGTAAGTTTTGTCTCACAGGCGGCAGCCGCAGTTGGCGCCATCAAGAATTGACAGTTATTCTGGCCTACCGAAAGTGATGCTTCCACTGGAAGTGATTGTACCGCGACGGATGACTAATCCAAACGACTGAGATAGAAAGAATAACCACACGACATGGGAGTCAATCCATGTGAGCGCAAGCAGTATTCACTAAATAGGGCTCGATCCAGATCAGAAAGAACTGAGGTGCGACTAGCTGATTGCGAATGAGACAGTCTGTGATTTTAATGATATGGAACCAATCACAAGAAGAACATAGTTAATGCTTCTCAAAATTTCCAGGATAATGTATATGTTGTATTGGCAGCAGCAACCATAACAATAGTACTGGCCACAGTAATAACAGCGTTTGGGGCCGTAATACTAGTAATAATAGTACCGTTAGAAACAGCAGTAGTGGTGGAGACAACAGTAGTAGTCCATCCGTCATATCTTTCGTTATATTGGCAGCAGTAAAATAGCCGTAGAGGCCAACGAAACAACAGTATTAGTAGTAGTAGTAGTAGTAGTAGTAGTAGTAGTAGTAGTAGTAGT